GACAGACTTTCCTTTCGGAACTTAAAAGCGTGAACATGCCAAGTAGTTCCTGAAGTCAGCTGTGATGCAAAGAAATTGCACTATTAAGTTAGAGCTTTTTAGTTTTCTATTTGATTTCTGCAGGTACTGACTTCGGGGAAATTACTGAACCAAAATGTATCCAGATTTGACTCTCGGAAGGAAAAGTTACTAGGTGTAGGACTGAAACATGGTTTTAAACCTGCAATGAATTTGACTTTTCAGTTATGCTGAAGATGTACTGTTCAATGGGATCACTTAAAATTTGTGCCTATGAATGTCCAAAGTAGTGTTAAAAACAATAAGTGTAATAATGCTGCTCTGAGATCAAGTTAGTCAAGTCTAATTCCTTTTATACTTTAGTGTGCATGTAGCAAGTTTTTGATTGATACCATCTTATTACTGTGTCTTAATGAAAGTTAGGAGTGCTAAATGCTGAAATATCCCACATTTTCCAGATAAAAGCTTGCATTTGGAACAGCAGCTTTACAGCGTCATGGATGATATCTGTAAACTGGTAGAAGCCATTCCAATTCAGGAGCTTAAATACCTGTCCTGCGCAAAAGAGCTTCTTCAGCAGCGAGACCTGCGGTGAGTTCGAGCAGCCCCGTGTTTGCAGAGCCGTCTGCAGGTGTCTCTGCTGCGCCGGGAACGGGGCTCCGAGCGGCCTCACAGGCTCCACGTTACTCCTCAAACGAGGTTTTGGGGAAAAAACACCTCAAAATGTGCTGAGGGTATTAAGAGGTTCTGAATTCTGCTAGAAGAGAGGAGGAAAGAACTCGGCTCTGAGGCGGGGATAGTCCTCATCCTGCTTTCCGGAAGGTAGCCCCAGATGCTTCCAAAGAAACAGCAATGTGGTATAATCTGTTCTCCGTTCTGGGGTTCCTCCTGATTCCTTACAACCTGAGGGATTAATTTATTATTCCTTCTGATACTTATTATCACAGATTATAGCAATTATAATATCCCTATAAATGTCAGTTCTGAGTTTGAATGTTGCTACTGCAGTCTGCTGCTTTAACTTCCATATCATCTAGTGACACAGTACACAGAGGAAGTGTTAAGATTTGGGATTTTTTGTCTTTACTGGACTAGGATCACAGGCTTTTACTAAACATTGCCAGTAAAATTAACTCGCCCTGTTTCCTATTATTATAGTAGTCAGTTGTAGTCTTTAGAGAGCACATAAAAACATAATTTAGTTCATGCCTTTTTCATTCTTTAAGGTTTGTGCCTTCAAAAATTTTCACCACTTTGCCCGCATTAATTCTTCACTATTAGGGTTTCTTATATTTTAGTATCTGCTGTGAGTATATTTAATATTTTTTAAAATTTAATTTTTTAATTCTTTTGGTCAGTTCAATTCTGATATTATTCTCTGTTCTCCAATTTTTTTTAAGGGTGAAGTAACTTTAAAAATACAATTGCAGAAAATACAACGTAATGGTCACATGCTAATATTTTGAAGACGAAAAACATTATATGCTGTAAAACTTGGTTAATCCTTGCTTGTGGCTGTGACATAATTATTTTCCTTTTTCCTTCCCGTTCCCTCCCTCTCAGGAGAAGGTTATTAGCCAGTTCTCTCAAGCTGAACAGAAGTAGCACAAACACCGGTTTTGCTAGGACAGGGCGGCCACGAACGGGCTCGGGTACTGCTGCAGATCCTGATGCTGCTGTTTGTTCTAGCACTAACTGTACTTTAAGTTCTGCTGGAAACTCACCAAGATCCACAAAACTTCCGTCTATGTTTTCTGGGACTGTTAATTCAAGCAATTTTTCTGCAAAACAAAACGGAATACCTGGTGGCCTGGCTACCCCTTATGCTTCCAAGCAATCCGTTCTGGATCTCACCCGCGCAGAAACTACAGAACTCTCCTCCAAGATAGACGTCCGGGAGGGGACGTGGCGCAGCCCGGGCTCCGAGACGTCCTTCGGCAGCAGCTGGTGTGAGATCCCAGGGGTGGGAAGGGCCGGGAGCCGGCAGCCGCCCGGGAGGCCCCTCACGAGCACGGCTGTGAAGGCGCAGGGCAGAGCCCCCGCTGGCGTCGGCGGGGGAGGCCGTGCCGGGGATACGGACCTTGATCTCGAGCATTTCGATATTGGTGAGTTTGATGAGAGCTGGGAGAATCTAGGGGACGTTTCAGCACCGCCATCTGCAGCGTCCTACCAGCCCGTGAGGGAAGGGCCACCTGCCAGATCGCTGCTCTCAAAGATCATTTCAACAGCCAAAGGATCTGTTCTGGGACCAAACACTATTACTCCAAAATCAAACTTCTCGATGGCAGCTAAAAGCCCTTCAGGTGAGTCATGCTAACTGGGATTACTGTCATACCCCTCATTAGTTTATCTTAAAAGTCTAAAGCTAATTAACTTGTTTGTGGGGGACACCAATGCATTTTGTGTCCTGAACTTTCTGCTGGTGTCTCTTGACACAGTCGTCATCGTAGGATGCTCTTCGTCCGAGCGCTGTCAAACTTCTCAAGTCTTTGCTTGCCACAGAGGCTCAAGGCCCCAGGAAACTGAAACTGTTAATTGGGGCGCTAGTTTTCTGTGTTTTCGTTAAACAATAACGCTGCAATTGTTAATTTAAAGCTGTGCAATGTTTTTTTTCTATTTTTACAAAATGTTGAAAGGGACTCTTGTTGGAACAAGCCTAGTCCTGCTGGTAGACAGGTATGGATCAGTGTTTTCTGTGGCTGATACAGGAACAGGGCAGGGAAAAGCAGCCAAGGTGCAGTTCAGTTTGGGGTAGCTTTGAGGGCTGTGCTGTGAGGGATGTGCTGGAACTCGATACTGTAACTTTAAGTCCATTTTCTTTGTCTGCTAGATCCACTTGTTAATAATCCAGCCCTGGAGCGTTTCAGGGGTGTTAAGTTTTCCCATTCTGAAGAAATGATGAATATATTTCACAAGAAGTTTGGCTTGCACTATTTCCGGACAAACCAGCTGGAGGCCGTCAACGCCGCGCTCCTGGGCGAGGATTGTTTCATCCTGATGCCCACCGGTGGGTACCTCGCTGGAGCAGGAGGAGCTGGACCCCTTTGGAGCAGCCCATGGGGAGCTTTTTCCCTCTCCTTGCCTTTGGGGAGGTATTTGTTGCCTTGCTTGAATTCGATGGCTGCAGGATCTGGGGAATTGGGTGTGCACCGTGGCACTGTGAAGGAAGGTGATGTCACGCGTGCCTTCCATAGTGCTTCACTTACTAACCCTTCCAAAACCTACACATATCATAACAAGCTTTTAAGAATAACTGTTGGTAATGTTCCTGGAAGTGCCATGAAATGCAAACTAAGAAACAGGACCTCTCTTTTCCTGCCTTTTCCTTTTCCTCCATCCCTGCCCTCTCTCCCTTCTGTGTCTAACACATGTTGTGTTCTGCCTGACCGTGCAGGTGGAGGTAAGAGCTTGTGCTACCAGTTACCAGCGTGTGTGTCTCCTGGAGTCACAATCGTTATCTCTCCGTTGAGGTCGCTCATAATCGATCAAGTTCAGAAGCTGAAGACTTTAGATGTAAGTTCAAACAGCCCATTTAATCACTTAAACTGCAAGTAAGCGGACAGGAACGCTGAAATTTTGCACTGAATGGTATGTCCCTCAATATGAAATACAAAAAAAAAAAAGAGTGTCTTAAAATTATCTAGGAAGTTCTAAATTAGGTGATTTAGACAAAAAGATCTAAACAAACAAAAGGATCTAAATTAGGTGTTCTAGATAAAACCTAGTTAAACTCCCTCGGAGGCTCCTGGGAATGGGCATATCCTGCAGGAATTCCCTCTGTGGAACCATAGCTACCTCTTGCAAGCAGCATGAGGGACCGACGGGCAGACCCAGCTCTGTGGTGGTGGGTGTTGTGTTCACTGGCTGCTCTTAGGACATTTTTGTCCAGTTCTTTTGTTACTATTCATGCTGAATAGTAAGTTGTACTTTAAGTTTTAAATGTTGAATTGCTGCTCTGAGTTGCATTCAATCTCTTCTGACGTACACAATACTGTTGTGTGTGGGCACTGTTATTGAGGGTATTTATCATGGTTTTGTGCTTCCTGGAAATTTGGCTCTTACCTTAAAATCTCTGCTTGCTGTCTGAATTCCTTCTCAGTCTTGTAGCATATGGAGCAGCAAACAAGCATCACTTCTGTTTTATTTACTGGAAAGAGAGAAAAATGCCTCCCCGACATCAGCAATTGGTCTGCTGATAAAGTTGGGAGCACGAGAATAGAGTTTGCTTTATAGTCTCTTGGCTTTATCATCAGGAAAAAAAATCTGGGATGTGTGCAGTCTGCTGAATGTCATCTATAATTAACATTTTCAGTGCTGCTCTGCATAGTCTTCAGTGGTGATAGAAAATGCAAATGCTTTTCATTTGGTCTATGACTAGATGTAGGGCTGTATGTCAGAGATGGTTCTACATTTAGCACACATTAAAGCGTAATGCTCTTTTTTTGTGTTGAGTAGATTGCTGCAACGTACCTGACTGGTGATATAACAGATGCGGATGCTTCAAAAATATATATGCAGTTGTCCAAAAAAGATCCTGTAATAAAACTTCTGTATGTTACCCCCGAGAAGGTTTGTACCTAATTTGAATTTTAAAGCAATGAAGGCAACAATAACAAAATTACTATAAAGGGCTGAGGGGAGAAAACAAACTTACACAGTAGGCTTCTAGCAAAAAAAAAAACATGTAAAGAAAGTATTTTTAGAGAATTCAGCAAAACTGTGCAGATGTAACTCATGTCAGCCAAAGGAAAACCAAAAATAATTAACAAATGGAAATGGACTGTCTGCAGTGTTTAAATTGACCCCTCTCCATCCCCATTCTTTTCAAAATATCCGTGTACGTCTTGGGAGATAGTTGCTGTGCAGTGAGTGTTAGAGTTTAGGCTCCTCTGAATAGGATATTATTGGGAGAAAAACACCTAACCACCAATGTAATAGGGGAATCCCAAAAGATTGTAAATAATTCTATGCTGCCTTTAACAGATATTATTCCACAAGCCCTTTGCAAAAGGGCACCGTTTAACGTGCCAGTTTTAATTGCTGTCTTCAGCACGCTCTTTCTCTATCTTTTGTGACATATAAGTCATTTTAATTTACCCGTCGAGGAGCTTCGTGTAGCCGACCCCAGAATCTCTGGGCAGCTCGACCACGTTGCCAGCCTCGATGCCAGCCCAAACGAGGCCGGGTGCTGTCCCCTCGGAGCTTTGAGGCTGTCCCTAGGGGCCAGCAGCAGCTTTGCTGTGCAGAGCAGTCGTGTCACTGGGCTGTTCTTGTTAATGCTGCTCTTAAATGTGGGCCTAGGTTTGTGCAAGCGGCCGCCTGATATCTGCCCTGGAGAACCTGTATGACAGGAGGCTGCTGTCGCGTTTCGTCATCGATGAGGCTCACTGTGTCAGTCAGGTAAACACTTTTGATGGCAAAAAATGTAACTGGAGCATCTTCCTCGGTGGTAGTTACGTTTTTGTTTTGAGTCCAGTGGGGTCATGACTTTCGGAAGGACTACAAGCGCCTCAACATGCTGCGCAAGAAGTTCTGCTCCGTCCCCATGATGGCTCTCACCGCCACTGCGAATCCCAGAGTACAAAAAGATATCCAGAATCAGCTCGAGATGCTGAAACCACAAGTGTAAGTTGTTCAGCAATTTCATGAAACAGCTTTTCATGATTTGTCCAGCATCTTTGCAATGGAAAAGTTAGGAAAGAAAGAAGAGTGCTAAGGAGTCATCTGAATGAAATATTTGTAGTTGTACCTGACTGAATGAGAATGCATATGTGGAATTAACATGCCTTAAATGCAAAATATTAAATTGAGAGGGGAAAAAAAGATTGTGAAACTCTTCCTGATGTGGTTAGAGAAACTTTTTAAAATAACACCTTGGAATTTTGATAGTCATTAACAAGATGTTAAAGTTGTGTTTTGGGTTGCTTTTCATGAGAATATTGGTAAACTCCATAAGCTGGCGGTGTGTGTGTTTTTGTTTTTGTTTTTTAAGCTAACATTGGCAGTGTAACAGGTAATGAAGATAGTATTGAGATCTGGGTTCTATTGTAGCATTCTTATTGTCTATGACCAAAAGGAAAACGCTTCTGTTTGGTTAGAAGTATTTTTCAGGATAGAAGATACAGGACATGACACTTCTGAAAATTTATAAGATTTGATGCAGATGCAAATATTTTAAAAGGAAAATGAAGGGCAAACAAAGCATTACGTGCTTGATAAATCCACAGGCATTTCTTCCTCCATGGCTTGCATGGTGCCATTTAGTTTTCTTTTTTCCCAGCCATAGGAAAAATGCAGGATTGTTTCACCTAACGAAGTAATTTCAGATCTGAAGTCTGTGAAATGAGTTTCAGTTGAACAGAGTGGAACAAAAATTCCTTTAAATGCACAGAACCTAGAGTAGTTGAATTTGGGGTGTTCCAGTCCTTTCCGAGCTCGTTGAAAGGATTATTGCATCTTAAAAGTGAACAGCATCAATGAAATATCCTGTTTTAGGTTTACCATGAGCTTCAACAGACATAACTTGAAATACGATGTACTGCCCAAGAAGCCAAAAAAAGTGGCGCTGGATTGCTTAGAATGGATCAGAAAGCACCACCCATGTGAGTATTATATCGCTGATAATGAGAATCAGATTTTAAAACACCCTAAAGTAAGATTGTCAAGTTAAGATGAAAAAGAAGATTAAGGTAATGCTCCTGAGTAATCTTTCTGGAGGTTGGCAGATCCGTTAGTGTTGTGTCTTCAGGATACATGTCACCTAATACCCGTAGGTGTTTTTGACTGCTTAGTCCTGCTGGCCTGCTCAGCTGAGGATCCTCCTGCTCCTCTCCTGGCTGTCCAGGCTTTCTGGGAATCTGCAGCCCTGGCTGCTGAATCACCTCCAAGCTCCCTTCACAGCTCCTCCTTTGCTGTAGCCCAGTGCATCGTTTGCTGCACTGCTGTAGGTCTCTGTGCAGGTTTTCATTTATGGATTTTAAATCCTTGTACTGCATAGTAGAACATCTGAGCAGAAGCTCTGCTGATCTCAATCCACAAAAAAGGCATGGAATCGAGTGAGGAGACATTAACAAAAACATCTAGTGTTAATAAAGCCACTTCTCGTTATGAAGAGTTGCTGTTAGCAACCTCTCCCTATTGGAATAAATGACTTTTTAAAGCAAGTGGAAGGGAAGAAAGCGCAAATCTTTTTTTATATTTGCAGATGACTCTGGGATAATTTACTGCCTTTCGCGGCATGAGTGTGACACGACAGCTGCCATCCTGCAGAAGGAAGGGCTGGCTGCGCTCGCCTATCACGCTGGCCTCACTGACTGCAACAGAGATCTGGTACAGAAGAAGTGGGTTAATCAAGAAGGATGCCAGGTAAATGAAAAGCAAATAATAAAAGATATCAATAGGATTTGGAGCACTTTTATCCCTTTTAACCTAGTAAAGGAAAATGAAGATTAGTAACATTTTTGCCAAATTAGATGCAGTATGACATAAATGATCAGACCTGTCAAAACAGGTTAGTGTGATTTTTATTGAGGATTTTGCCAACGGAAGGCTGCAGGACTGCACTGATGTGTGAACTCAGGAGGAGGGAAATGAGCTTGAGGCTTCTGCAGCAGCTGTGGACATGTCACTGCAGCTTATACTGAGCCTCCGGAGTCCGAGTTTTCAGTTTGCCTTGTGGTTGTACAACTCTTCTGAAAGAAGCAGAGATTTTTGCTACTTTGTGCTTTCCTTGCAATTACATTTTAAATTCCGCCTCGTGCCCAGTTTCATAAGCCCTATTACATGCCTATTTTGGGTGCATAGTTCTCCATAAGCAGCTTTCAGACTTGCACATAACACGTTGTTATTTCTGTTGCAGGTTATATGTGCAACCATTGCCTTTGGGATGGGGATTGACAAGCCCGATGTGCGCTACGTTATCCACGCCTCGCTCCCAAAGTCCATCGAAGGTTATTACCAGGAGTCGGGCAGAGCCGGGCGCGACGGGGAGATGTCCCACTGCCTGCTCTTCTACAGTTACAGCGATGTCACCAGGCTCAGAAGGCTCATACTGAGTGAGTGAAATCTTGCATTGTCACTTAATTATACATAAATATTATTGTGTTCTTTTTTGTCCTTCTAGGTTCCTTTCCCTTCTCCTTTTTTAAAAACCTTAGAGGTAAAAATCTGTCCTAGCTTTATTCTGTATAACTTGCTGAGGAAAAGCAAAATAATCTTTGCTGCTTCAAAAAAGTATGTTTGATAATATTTAAAAAGACAGAAGTGCAGGTATAACAAATACAATTGAATTTATTGTGTTTCAGTGGAAAAAGATGGAAACAGTCACACGAGACAGACACACTTTAACAACCTGTACAGCATGGTCCATTACTGCGAGAACGTGGTTGACTGCCGGAGAATTCAGCTCTTGGCCTACTTTGGGGAAACTAACTTCAATCCTAACTTTTGTAAAGACCACCCAGAAGTAACTTGTGATAACTGCAGCAGGAAGAAGGTGAAAATGTGCCTCTTATTTGTAGGGTCTTAAACTGGGTTTATGTATACGCATTGCCTTAAAAAATTGCTAGTGTTGCATTTCTAAAGGCAAATAGAGAAAGTGAATGAGAAGCTTTGTGGGTTTTCTTGATGCTGGCTGCTTTGAATTATTTCTGGGGTTTAACCTTGAGCAGAATCCCAGCAGCTCTGCAAGGGCAAGGCCCCTGCTCTGGCAGGGGAGCTCGGAGGTTTGGAGCAGCCCCGTGAGCAGCACGAGCAGGGGGAGCAGCAGGCTGGTGCTCTGCAGGCCGTGCGCTCCAGCAGTTCCTGCTGCAGTCCCACAGTTAAACTGAAGAGAGTGGAAAGGACCCAAATGCTGGAGGTGCCCAGGGCAGCATGATCCCACATCCACAGATGGGGAACGCTGCAGGGAAGGCCTGGGCTCCCCGAGCCACATGGGGATTGTTGTAGCTGAGGATGCTGCTTCTCAGTTTGTTTGAAACATCACCCTGTGCACCTGTGATTGTAATAAAAATTGGCTAAAATAATGTATATTTGCCACAGTCTTCTCGTTTTAATGTGTATTGGAAGTGTAAATTCTAGTGCATTGCAGCAGAATACTTAAAGGAATACTTTAAAAGCAATTAACTGTGATTACTAGTACTTGCTCAGCAATCTTTGAGTTCATTGTGTAAAGTTTACATAATAGAGATTATATGCAAGTGTTGGTATATCTTTATTTTTCTGCATTTTCAGAATATTATCTAATCCAGAGTTCCTGTGATTGTGATATCACTGTACATGTACTAACTGGGAAATAGCTATTTCTGTGTTTGGAACAAAATTAATTCATGCCTAGAAAAAGCTTAATAATGAAACAAGTCAGTAGCAACTTGCATTAGAATAGAAGCAAATTCTTTTTTTATTTTTTTTCCCCTAATCAACTCTATTTGAATAGGATTACAAATCAAGAAATGTAACGGATGAAGTGAAGAGCATTATAAGATTTGTACAGGAGCACTGTGGAATGAATGGGAAGAGAAATACGGGTTCTGGAAGGTACACGTTGAACATGATGGTGGACATTTTCCTAGGTGAGTACTGCTAGCCTTGCTGCAACAAATCTCAGACATCGGAAGGCCCATGTAGCAGCAGCAGTGGTTTAAAAGCAAGATGCAGCTGTTGAAGCTGTTCTTCCCAGGGAGCTCTAGGTGGTAGATGATCCACAGTAAGGGAGGCTAAAGCTGCAATTGCTTTCAGGTGGCCACAGTGTTGATGTGAGCTTTCTGGGGGCACGGGCAGCTTGTGCTGCTTACGTGGGAGTTGGCTGGTTTGGGGGTGGCTGCTTTCCTTTGTGCCCAGGCTCCAGAAGGTCTCTTGGGAGCTTCCACCCATCTGGAATGTGTGTGTGGAGGTTTGTTACTGCAGGCTGATCCTGTTGCTCCCACTGCACAGGTACAAAGAGTGCCAAGATTCAGTCTGGAATTTTTGGGAAAGGTGCTGCCTACTCCAGGCATAATGTTGAAAGACTGTTCAGAAAATTGGTCCTGGACAAGATTCTGGATGAGGACTTGTACATCACAGCTAATGACCAGGCTGTAGCATATATAATCCTAGGAGAGAAGGCCCGGGCTGTGCTAGATGGATCACTGCAGGTAAGGAGCATGCCACAGGCTTTGTGCAGCAGGTAGTCTAGGCCAGTTTAAACATAATGTGCCTACAAATTAATGTGACTGAGCTAAGCTTTTACGGATGCAGGGAACAGAATCCAACAAGCATAACTTCAACTCCACTGTTTAATAATGCCATGAGGCAAAAGGTGGATTTGGGGAGGCAGAGGCTTGAATCCTGCTTTTGTTCTCCCTTCTGCCTGATTCCACCTTATCAGGAAAAGGTGGTGAGCAGCACTTGGAGCAGCCAAGGAGAGAGAGAACAGCCCTGTTGTTCTCCTGCATTTCCTGCTCTGGTGAGCTGCAGAGCAGAATGCCCTTCGAGGGGGTCCTGGAAGGGTCGCAGCGTTGCTGGAGCAGCGTCTGCCCCACACGTGCTGCAGTGACAGGGCTCCCGGGTCTAAGGTGAGGGCAGAGCTCGCTGCGCTGGGGTGGCAGCTTGGCTGTCACTCCCCTGTGCTGTGTGTACTTCATTAGTGCTTCGCAGAGGATACTTGAGGGCAGGTGAGAATCGCTGCTTTATGAACCAGTTAAAAAAAAAATCACATTAAAAATGTCCCTCACTAATTACTTTTTTGTTCAGTTGAACACTACTCCTCGTTTCCTTCACCCTTCTCCTGTGTAATCCATCATTCTGGTAGCTTTGGTGCTGCAGTAACTCCTGGACAGAAGTTGTTTGCCTTGTTTTCACAGGTGGAGTTCCACGAAACCGAAAGCGCCAGTACCATCAGGAAGCAAAGGGCTTCTGTGGCCAAAATGTCCCAGCGGGAGGAGATGGTTAAGAAGTGTCTGGGAGAACTTACAGACACCTGCAAAACCCTTGGGAAAGTGTTTGATGTGCATTACTTCAACATTTTTAGTACTTCAACTCTCAAGAAAATAGCAGGTAAAGTTGGCTTTTCACTACTGGGGACCTCTGCAGGTAGTAGACTGCATGTGCAAGCCTACCCTTTTTTCACAGAAAATCCACAGTTTCTAACGTCTTGAGGACCAGTTCAGATCTCCAGAACCGAGCGATTGCCATGGAAATAGCTGGCCCAGCACAGACCCCATGGAGCTGTGTGTTTGAGCTGCAGCAGGTCTTGCTGGTCAGCTATGTGGACAGCCGAGTAATGGTCCTGCAAAGCAACCTAGGAAGCCTTTTTAGAGCAATCCTCTCCTGGTTTTTGTGCTAACCAGCTAGAAGTAAATCTGCTAGAATAGAGGCTTCCTTTTGGGGGGCTTAGTGCTAAAAGGAATGAATTTCCCCCAGAGTATCCTGCTGTGATTACTCTCCAAACCTGTGGCAGGGGTCCTAAGTACCACTCTGGTTACCTTTGCTTACTGAATACCTGAAACGAACGTTAAAGCACCTGAGACTGTGTTCACTTAGGCTGCAAACATGAACTTCTGACTCCTCATTCCTAGTGCTCTTCATCAACCCCATGCTCTTCTTTTAACAAAACTCCCAAGTGTCTCTGAACGCTGCATTTTAACTCATCTGTGCTCTTACCTGGATTTTCTTATTTCATCCTGGGTTCTCTCTTCTTAAACAGTCTTGTTCGATATATCTAATTCTTATTTTGTAATATTGTGTTTGTTTATAGAAACCCTGTCTTCCGATGTGGAGGTTTTGTTGCAGATCGATGGTGTCACAGAAGATAAACTGGAAAAATACGGTGCAGAAATAATTAAAGTGATGGATAAGTACTCCGAGTGGACGACACCAGGTTTAGTATCCCTTGCACCCATACATGTGTTTTCCTGTTTGTTACCCTTCCTCCTCCTCTGTAAGAAGCTCTAACTCTTGCAATTTAATAATTACAAAGTGGGAACAATTGAGGGAACAGTGTTTTAGGGGCATACAAAGGCCTTTAGTGAGGAATAGTAGAGAATATTTGGCCTAGTTGTAAAATGCTAGCGAGGTAAACAAAAATAAACAGACTCCCGCTTTGCCGATTACCTGTCAGTCATCGGGATTCATACAATAACCTTTATTATCCCAAGATTTCTAACCTTGAAGTTAAAAGTCCAGCACTTCCTTGATGTGCTTGTGTTGTGTGACGGGTGGCCTCTAACTACTGCCCCTTGGTGTTCTCAGGAGCAGAGCTCAGCTGTTCTGACTGGTCCTTACATGTAAAAAAGCTGTCAATCGAAACGACTGTGCTTGAGGGTGTCTGCACAGCTGTAACCTGAAGCACAATGAAGAATTTAGTGCAGAGATTAACAAATCTAGGAACTTCACGTAGGCGTAGCAGTGTAGCTGGTGTTGTAATCCAGGTATTTAGCACAAGCTGGCTATCAGATTTGACATTGTGGCCTACAACTATGCTTGTGTTTAATGTAGGCTGTTCCTTCCTATTGCTGTGTTAATAACCGCAGTTGTTAAGTGCATGTCTACAGTCCTGATTTGTGTGAGGTCCTCAGTGTCTCCCTTTTTTTTTTTTTTTTTTTAAAAAAAAAAAAAAAAAAGCAATGCCATGTTTGACTGTAGTATTATGGTATGTTCCTCCATCCCTGTCCAGCTGACACAGGGAAGGGATGACGAAGCCCACAGTACAACATGGCTTAGGCAGGAAAGCAAGCTGGAGAAAACAGGGCTGGCTGGAAACCTTGTGGGCCAGGCCCAGCTAAACCAAAGCAGTTTATTGCCTGTCCCGTATTCCAGCCTGAGGAACGCCTTCATGGGAGCCCAGAGCATCCCAGGAACACAAGCAGCAGAAAGGGGTTTCGAGCAGCAAGGATGGAAGCTCGGTCCAACATGTGTGTCCTGGCGGGCGCTTGTGGCAGTGTCTTGTTCTCACTGGCTTTAACTCACGGTCTCTCTGCAGATGACACTGTCCCCCAAAGTGGGGACACGGCGCCGGGAAGCACTGGAGCGCTGGAGAGCGATGACGAGGAGGAAGATGCAGTTACAACTTCGAGTTATTTTTGCAATAACACAAACCAAGCAAAGAAAAGGAAGAGGCGTCCAAACGTCAGAGAATCCAAGAGGAAAAGGTCGAGCGGTGGTGGTGGCCAGCAGTTTTATTCCAAAGGGTACGTTGCTTGGAGTTAGTTCTAGTTCATTAAATGTTAATTCGGGGCTTGGGCATGGTGCACCATGAAACGACGTTGCTCTCGTGTGGGTTCAGAGCACAGGTCATAGCAGCCTGTGCTGGAGGTTGCACTTGGACACCTGATGACTGATCACCGAGAAGGAAGCAAAACAAAAAGGATAAGGGTTGAGGATCTTCCACTCTCCATCATAAGTGTGTTTTAAAAAGGGGAGAGGGAAAATTATATCAGAAAACACCAGCAAAAACTCTTATTTTGCTTTTATAGTCATTCTTTTAAAACATACACCATGCTTAAGGCTGCCTGTGCGTGAAAAGGAAGCAAGTTGGAGCTGATACTACTGTGGTACTGTCAGGCTACACAAACACCCGGCTCAGCAGGTTTCACCTTTCCATCCACTAAAATTTCTAGTCATTAAATGCTGTCGACCCTGAAGTGCCATTTAAAGTTGGTGGCTGTGATTGGATTAATAGAGTCAGGCTGGCTCAGCATTCGGTGTCTTGTGTTTCAGGCTGCTTTTCACCTGTAGGCAGCTGTCAGTAACAGCTATGGTTGATTTGCACTTGGAAAGTATTTACACAGCTGTGTGTGATGGAGAATTTCTTTGAGGGAGATTAGTCTTACGGTTGCATAGAACTAGATTTTGTGTAAATGTACCATGGAAGGGAATGGGGCAGGTAAAGCAGGTGTTCAACGTGTACAAATATGCAATGCATAACATGTAAATAATAGTGTAACTTGTAATAATGGGATTTCTCTCTGGATTTTGTAGTGGTTACAACAAGTACAGAAGGATCAAGAAGGCATCGCGCTCCAACGCCGCACCTTTGTCAGGCTCTAGTTCAGCATTGTACACTGTCAGCAGCCCGCAAGGAATGGCTGGAAAACTGGGGATTATGGCACCCCCAAAGCCCAAAAACAGGCAGTTCCTTCAGCCTTCATATTCATTCTTGTAACTAGCACATGTAAATACTGTATAGAAGTGTACCATTGAGATGTAATCATTTTTTATTAGCCTTTATTTCATTTGCTAGACCTCCTGCAATAAATGTGTACATATCGTCCAAGGGAGAACTGAATGCCAAATAAATGTTTTTAGACTCGCAGCTTCCTGCCTTCCTTCTCCCCAGGCCCGGCTGCGCAGCCCTGGGCGTGGAGGCGGTGGTTCCGTCACCCGGGGGCCCGGCCGGGCTGTGCAGGGACCCCGTCCCCTCGTGGTGCCGTCGGTGTCAGGGCTCTGCTGTCCTCAACCCCGCAGGCCGGCGGAGCTGCCCCCTGCCCAGCCCGGGGCTTTGGGGGCACCCACGACTGTTCAAGTACCCCGGCTGTTAAAGGGCTGCCCCCAGGCCCTGGCGCTCTAGTTCTGCCTGGGGGCTGCAGGGGAAGCAGCGGCTCCCTCGCCCCACGGGCCGCCAGTGATTGCAGCCCCGCTCGGCAGCGGCGCT